AAAACAAGAGCTGTTCATAACATATATGTGTAGAACGGGGATGTGAACCGGGGCTTGAGCCATCTTAAATACACTGAATCGCGCCAAATGTTTGAAACTCCGCCTGTCAACTCGAAGCAGTCAGCTGACTCTGAATGAAGCAGTGAAGTGGTTCACACGTCATCGGTGACGTCACATGAAGCGAGCTCCGGCCCAGTGCTTCACCATAACTACCCTGTCGAGTTTGAAGCGTGCTTTGAAGCTTCGGTGTTAGAGGTAACTTCACTTGTTTCTGCTGCTGTAAAGGTAAATGTTTTTGATTAGCCACCTATGGCTGGTTGGGTGCTACGTCAGTGCTGCTCTGCATATTGTTGCTGTTGTGTTGCTGTTTAAAGTGACTTGAATTTGTTTTTTTAGGATGTGTGCCAGTGGGTAGCACATTGAAACTGCAAATGTTTGAATTAACCCGTTAGTGGGGTTGTGACTTATTAAAGTACATGCCAGTATTATTTGATATTAATGTTATGTGCAGGCACCTTACTAATTGTCATTCAGTGCACAGCAGATTGCTGCTGTTGCTATATTATGCTCCCAACTTTGTGTGCATTTCTTTGGTCAAATGGTGTCCCCATTGAGTTTGTTGATTCCTATAAATATTTGGGTATCTTGGTCGACTCACATCTCTCTTTTAAGCTCCATGTGGAAAACTTGGTAAAGAAACTGAAAGTTAAACTGGGTTTCTTTTTTCAGAAACAGATCCTGTCTAACTCTGAATGTTAGGAAACACCTTGTATCTGTGACTTTCCTTCCCTCCATTGATTACGGTGACATTATTTACATGAACGCTCCTACAAGAACCCTGCAGATGTTGGATGCTGCAGATGTTGGATGCTGCAGATGTTGGATGCTGTCTATCATGGTGCACTAAGATTCATAACTGGCTGTGATTATCGTACCCACCACTGCACCCAGTATTCACTGGTTAACTGGACATCATTAACTTCATGCAGACTCTCTCACTGGTACATTTTCATCTTTAAATCACTTCTTGGTCTGTTGCCTTCATACATCTCCTCCTACATGTCTCTGCGTGAGTGCAGCTACAGCGTGCGCTCTCAGGACATTATTACCTGCAGTGTTCCCTCAATGAGGACTGAACTAGGCAAAAGGGCCTTCTCCTAATCCGCTCCTGTTTCCTGGAATATCTTACAAAAAGATTTGAAGCTCTCGATCTTGACCTACTTTAAGAATCTGTTGGACTCCTGGCAGGGACCAATGCAGACATGTTCCTGTTTTTAGTTTTCTACAGTCACCTTAGAATCTAGCTGTTTTTTTGTTACCTTTTCCTTTTAGCCATCCTATTTGTAAAAAAAAAAACCCCAAAAAAAACCTGCAGTATGACTTTTTATAACTGTTTATTGTTGTTGCTGTTGTCCATTGTTGTCATCTTTCTTTGTTGAAATCAGGTCTCTCTTGTAAATGAGTCCTCGAGGCTCAATGGGATTTACCTGTTTAAATAAAGGTTGAATGATTAAACTTCATGTGCTCTCATGTAGCTGGCGTTGTGTTCACCTGGTGCTAGGTGATTTGGAGTTGTGGCAGATTTGTTGTAGCACTTTAAAACTAACACTTTAGAGCCAGCACAGTAAAATTTTTGCGTTGCCACCTAACCATAACTATTCTTTTTATAGTGGTTTTTGTTTTGTTCAATTTTGTCTTTGGTTGTGATTATTAGGTTTTCAATATATATAGTAAAGGGCTGTTTTTAATGTTGTTGAAAATAATAAATAAAACATTTGTATTGAACACCACTTCTGTTTTTGTCATTTGAAGCCAGGCATGCCTGGTATTTGTAATGGGGAAATTCTAGACTATCTAGCATTATTTGAAGTCTACCAATTGGCTTTAGGGTCACGCACTCCGAGTCACTATCCGGGCGGGCCTTTCCCCCGTGTTACATATAACAAGAAAATATGATTGATGAGCTAATGGCTGGTTTGAAAGCAGCTAACACCAAAGTGGATTGCTTCTGTTTTAAAACAGTTTTTAGTTTTACAAACTTTATAGCAGTTTATGCTAAAGCTACTTTATAAACTGTTAGCCTACAATCTTTTCATCAATATGTGGTTGTTTACATAGAAATCAATGATTATTTGAAAGTTCAAGTTTTTTTTTCTTTTTTTTTTAGATGGCCTCCCTTCTCCCCTTACAGCCATCCTCTCCACACCATTATTATGAAATATTTATTCTAGTGACTATCTAGTGTAGTTTTTTTTTTTTTTTAATAGGATAGAAAGAGAGAAAAGACTCCAAAAGACAAAGTAAGACACCAAAATATAAGAAATATACACAAAGAGAGCACACGGCAAAACACCCGGCCACTGTCTGTTCACCTGCAAAGAACATGACAAAACACAGCAACAAAATACATATGTATAAAGAACTTAAAATATTCATGGCTTTGCAGTAAGTTTCCATAAATATATATATCCATACCTACGCCTATATACATACATACATACATACACATGAATATACACTCACATACATATCTATATATCTACATATAAAGCCTACATAAGCATCCCTGCTTCTATTTGTGTGTGGTTGTGAGCATGCATAAGTGTATAAGGCTTCTCTAATAGAACATTTAATAGTAACTGTGAAGCAGCAGAGACCCGACCCCCAAGACCAGAGGCAGACGAAAAAGGGGGGACCAGAGCCCAAGACCCCAGGAGGGACCCCGACCGCGGAGGCCCCAGGGCCACCCACACAGGACGAACCACTCACCCACCCCCCAGATCGGACCACAGAGGAGAACCGGAAGATCCCCACCAGCGACCACATACAGTGACCCCCCGGGGCCAACAGCGACAAACTCATAGGCCTCCGTCGGAACCCGCCGCACCAATGTAGGTCCAGGCCCGGGCACCGAGGCCCGGGCACCGAGGACTCACACCACCCAGGCCAAGGCCCGACAGGGCCAGAGGACCCGAGCCCCACCAGGCAGACACCAGGCCGAGCCGACACACGCCCAAGCGCCCAGCCCCCGATACCAAGGGCCCCAAGCGAGCCGGCAGGCAAGGGCACACCCCACCAGGGGGCCGCGCGATAGGGGCGCGATGCCAAGCACCCCCAGTTGTATCAAAGAGGGGGCAGTCAGAGTCTCGGCCTAACAAATACCCATTCATACACAGACACAATCACACAATCCCAACCTCATTCTCACATTCACTCACTCAAAGACATACGATAACGATACATTTCATTCTTATTCCCGATACGCACTCTATACCCCCCAGGTCCAAGACATGTACCCGCCCTCTACAGGGGGCAGCCCATGCCCAAACCCAGGAGGTAAACCCATTCATTCTCGAGTGGAGAGGAGCCAATATCCCAGACCTGCCCAGGCCACGCCCAGCCAACAGGACACCCCCCCCACCATGAAGAGGACACGCCACCGACCACCCCCACTCACCGCCAACAACCAAGCACGCGCCCCAGCCGACCGCCCGCCAGGCCCCGGCAGCCACCCTGGCCAGCGGGCCAACCATGGCACCCAAGCGCCAAGCTCAGGGGGTCCAAACAACCCCAGGGAGAGCACAGCGCCAGCACCGCCCACGGCAACCCCCTAGACCCCGAACCCCCACATAGTCCTGGTCAACACCCGACGGCCTGCCCTTCTCCCGGACCCCACCCCCGGAATGGCAGTTAGGGAACTAGGGGGGGAGAAAAAAAAAATAAAAAAATAAAAAAATAAGACCCCGACACATACACCCCCGCCCCTAGATGTGCTGTTGATGTGTGTTGTTGTAGAGTGCCATTAAAAAGGAAAGAAGAAGGAGCAAAGGCTGGCATGATGCCAGTTTCTCCTCCACCCCAACTCTATCCAAACCCTAGTGTCTAAATGAAAGTTCAAGTATTAGCAGCAGTGACATGTAACACTTCCTGTGCTCCCTGGGATCAGTTCATGCAGGAAGTAATGATATTGATGCCGGAATAGTTTTGCAATCTAAAAATAATGACAAAGTGAAGTATTCAATGACTGAGATTGCGTAAACCCCTACCAAATTTAAGATTTTTTATTTTTATTTATGTTAATATAATCACAAATACAAAGTACATCAACTGTAAACACATTTTGACCTTAAATAAATTAGGAGGAGGAGGAGGTGACGAGAAGAAGAATAACAAGAAGAAGAACAATTGGGAATATTATTTTAAAAGCATTTTACAAAGCCAAATTGTAACCTTAACTGAACTGAAAAGTTGTGTTCCAACATTTTTTAAATTATTTTTTACTTCTAAATAAAAAAAAAAAAAACTGATAGGTACATTTCTGTGATAATGTTTTATTTCATTTAGGAATCTAGTGGTAAAGTTTATATACTTATATTATTATGTCCTTCATTTAAACTTAGACACTATGGAGTCATTGATCCCACAAACAAACCTGGTCAAACAAAAAGTGAAACACTGGTCCACAGAATCAAATGTATCAGTTTCAGGATAAAAATAAATAATTGACAAGGTTTCTACCATTGTTTCAATGTTTAAAACTCATATCACAATGATGTTATAACTGTTAGATGCTGAATGTTTAAAAACATTTTAGAAACAAGTACACGTGATATATTATATTTATGATATAACAGTGATGTGAGATTATTGTAGCTGTCAAACTCTCTCTCTCCCCGTGTGTGCAGGTGCATGTGTGTGTGCTCAAGCAATGAACTTGTCCTTCCACTGGTGTGATGTAACTGTCTTTCTACAGTGCATCAGGTTAGAAAATGATAAAATGACAAATCTACTCTTTTTTTTCCTAATCAGACATTTTCAAAACAATAACAAACAAACTTGTGAAAAATACTTTTCACATTGTAAACATAAGAGCATCTTCAATATCCATTAGGTACAATAAGCATTGGAATTAGGGATGTAACTCGCTATCAAATGATTACACATATTCTAATTCCTACATTACAAAAACCAAATACATGTTTCTTATGTTCGTTGCTGTATTACTTTAGTTTTTCTTGGCAGGATATCCTCTTCAAGTGTTTAGTAATTTCTTTCATTTTTAGCCCATAAATGATGGGATTAAAAAGTGGATGACAAATGATAACTTGCAGAGTCATTGTTAAACGCACCGAGTTTGGAAGATCAGATTCTAGTTTTACTATGATGACATCAAATGTAACCAGGTAGGTAAAGTTGAGCAAAACCAGCAGGTGGGGTAAACAGGTTTGTGCAGCTTTTTTCTTCACCTCTCTACCACTCCGGTAGGTTATTACAAATATCTTTGCGTATGTAAACAGAACAAAAAGAACAGGGAGCACAGTAACATTTATCAGGACTATCAAACCATATATGGACAGCGCTGCTGAACTTACACAGTGAAGTTTGTAAATTAAATTGTTGCACAAGATTCCTTTTAGAATAAAGTTACAGAGTTTTGCATTAACACTCAGAGCAACAGGCACTGCTATCTGACAGGCAGATATGAGCCAAGAACAGCTCAGAAAAATAGCAACAGTAGTTTTGGTCATGACTGAGTGATACTGCAGAGGTCTACAGATAGAGACATACCTGTCGTAGGCCATCACTGACAAAAGGAGGAACTCTGCACCATTTAAAGAGTAATATAGAAAACTCTGAATCAGACACTTTGGATAAGTTGTTGTTTGTTTCTCAGATAAAAAGTCGATCAAAAGTTTGGGGTAGATGGATGTACTGTAAAGAATAGCATTTGTTAACAAAGCTGCAATAAAAATGTACATGGGTTCATGGAGGTTTTTGTGAATGCAAATAAGGCAGATAATTGTCATATTACTACAAAGTATTAGAATGTACACAGCTAACATGATCACAAAATAAAGAAATCTGTATGTTTGCAATTCTAAGTGTCCACCAAAGGTAAGAAATGTTGTGTTGAATTCAGAATCCATCAGATATGTGATGAAATAATATAACATACAGAACAAGCAGATTGCACACCTAACATACAGAGAAAAACATTTAAATAAAACATGTACTTTTGGATAAACACACACAGCCTCTCTCAATTACCTCCCAACAGAAAGTGTTTACCGCAGACCATGAGACAAGAGAGGGATTCTAAGATGCGTTTTATTTGGTGGCGTCACTCTTCAATGTCTTAATGAAACTCCACCAGGACCTTTAAGTGACAAACAAACAAGTTTTTTAAACCAGCATAAGCATGTGTAAGTGTATGTGTGTGTGTGTGTGTGTGTGTGTGGGGGGGGGGGGTATGTGTCTGTGTGTGTGTGTTTGTTTCAGGTTACATTGTTGAAACTAATTTTACAAAAAATCCTACATTGTGAGGACCAAAGCCGGGTCCTCATGAGGAGAAGTCTCGTTGGGGGGTTAGGGGTTAGGTTTACGAGTAGTTGCCTAGTACTAGTTTACCATTACTTGCACTAGGCATGTACTAGTATTGGTTAGGTTTAGGGAAAGTGTCAGGGTTAGGCTATAGAAAATGAATAGAAGTAAATGCAATGCCCCAAAAAGTATGCTTACAAGAACATGCGTGTGTGTGTGTGTGTCCTTGTTTATGCTACTTTGTGAGGCCCATTTTTCCAACTTATACTGTATTGTGAGGACCAACTGCTCCTTATGGGGCCCAAAGCCCGGGCCCCATAAGAAGAAGTCCCGTTGGTGGGTTAGGGGCTAGGTTTAGGACTAAGGTGTGAATTGAGGATGTGTTAGGTTTAGGGTTAGGTATGTACTGGTAATGGTTAGGTTATGGATAAAGGTCATGGTTAGGCTATAGACATGAATGAAAAATGAATGGAAGTCAATGCAAAGGCCCCATAAAGATAGCAAAACAAACCTGTGTGTGTGTGTGTGTGTGTGTGTGTGTGTGTGCGCGTGTGTGTGAAGGGAGGGGGGTGGAAACCAGTGTTCAGTTGTTGTGCACTTTAATCTGTATTTCTTGTTTGAAGTGCAATAGTATAGTGAAAAGAAATGTCTGGGCCTCCCTGCTCAAGCTACTGCCCTCGCGACCCGACTTCGGAAAAAGCAGAAGATAATCAGAATCAGAATAAGCTTTATTATCATTGTACTGAAATACAGTGAAATTATGTTCGTACAATCATCTGAAAGATGGGCTGAGGGCTGAGTGCACGTTGCTGCTGCTACTGGAGCATGGCTCCTTATTCTTTATCAGAATACTTTGTAGATAGAAAAGGAGAAAAGGATAGTGGTATTACAAAAAATATCTCTTAACACCTTGTCCTTATCAGGACACGATTTAAGACGTCAAAAAACTCTAAAAGCAAACGCATTTATAACACATTACTTGTGCATTTGACACCAACATGGTGAGATTTTTCCATGAAGCACTTCCAGATAGTCCATTGTCCTGATAAGATGTTGATGTCAGCCAGTACATCTCTGATGAGCATTCACAGAAGTTCTGGGGGGAATAGACATAGCTTTTCCCTAGTTTACACATATCCCAGGAGAAATTTGATGTCTGCCTGCTTCAAGGCCAGCTGGGGGAGTCAGAATCAGTTAAGCCACAATTGTTGATTTTTTTTTACGCAGACTGTTTTTTTTTCTTGTCAGCCTCGAGTCCTGCTGGTACTTTCAATCTCAAAATGGACAGATTTGTAGGCATTCCACTGCTCCGGGCTTATAGGCCCCTTCCAAGGTTGTCCCTAACATGATAGCGACCATAATGGATGGATGTTTCTGTCTGTTTATGATGCTTCTGATTGTGAAAATGGGTTTGTCATGTTATTTTCCTCTTCTGGTTTGCCTTCATTTCTGTTAAAGTCTCTGTTATTGGCTGTAGACTGACACCATGAGTCAGAGACTTTTTGCGGCAGACATGTGGGGGGGGGGGGGGGGCACTGCAAGGGTGGTGGTGTCACTGAGTGGAGTTTAGCTTTACTTAGCTCTGCATAGCATAGCTCTGTGTAATTCCCCATTGTCCTGTATGATTTTACTGCAGAAAACTGTCAAAAAATAGCAGACTTGAGTTTACCAGATTTAAATTTAGCAGGAGTTAGTTCAGCTAAAAGTTTTCAAAGTTGGCAAAAATGCTAATCTGATACATGGAAAGTTAGCTCTCATATTAGTGGAGTAGCGGAACCATGCCCACTACTGTATGTACCCCAAACAGTGAGATGAATAGTGATGGGTGTGGGATTCCTGGGTTTTTTGCCTGTCACTCACTCTTCCTTCCACAGCCAATTACTTCAACTCACTCTACCTGCTGCTGTTCTGAGGAGGACTGCCTGATGGGGTATTTAAACACCTGCCAGACACCTCTTCAGTGCTGGGACATCTTCTACCAAATGGACCCTCCACAGCCTGCCTCTTCAGATCCTTCTTAGGATCTCATCTCTCCACTGGACTCCATCTGTGGATCAACGGTGTCCTTCAACATTCACCATTAAGGCATTCTCAACTGGGTCAACCTGCTCCTCTCTCGTCCGCCAAATAACTCAGGACTGGATCTCCTATAAAAACCCAGGACCTCTCCTCTCCTTCTTGGCCTCCACCTACAACACAAACAGTAAGGAGTCAGCTTTCTATCTCAAAGAATTAAAACATTCAAAGAGACACCAGAACCCATACTCACCTATTCCTCTTCTCCCTTACAGCTGCGACGACAAGATTCACCTGTAAATAAAGTTCACTTACCTTTTGTAGTCCTGACTCTGTCTTTATTGAATCGGTCTGCTCAAGTGGGGGTCGACGTTGTTAAAACCTGATAATGGGTGTACAGTTTTCCCACAGATCCCAGAGAAGGTGTCAAAACTAGATTGCCAAAAAGTCCGCAGTTTGGGACAGTACCAGAATGTATGCAGGCATGTAGCTGGAGTTTGTTTATAATGATTACATGCGGGGTCCAGGTTGGCTTTGATCTTGGACAAATTGTCTTTGGACCAGTGCAGCCGGTGTACCACCTTGAACTGACTAACAGCATGACTCAGACAGACTGAGGATGAGTAAATGTTCTTGATGATTTTTCTCCAGATTGAGTCAGATATGGATTCCGCCAAGTCCATTTCCTATTTCAGATTAAGGTAGGGATGGGGCTGATCCGATATCTGTATCCGATACCAGTATAATTTACACATCTGATTTTTCCGATCCAACCTGCAGAGATTCCTGATCCATGATACATGTTGGCTTGAAACTATGAAATGGATTTCCTGAACAGAGGCATGTCTTATTAACCCAGAGTAATAAGACCCACCTCACATTCAGGAAATCAATTTCATAGTTTGTAACCAGCTACAACATGCAGCAGCACTGTGGCTAAAAGCTAACCAACTTTTCATTGAAACATGTCCACTTTGTGGAAGTATTTTACACTAGAAACACCACAAAACAAGACAGCAACGTGCAATGTCTGCAAAGCCATATCACTGCATTAAACCGCAGTAAAGTTAGTTTTACGTTGGACATTCGAGCTCTGTGGCTTCAGCGGGGCGCTACTCTTTGCTCAACCTGAAACAGGCAACTCGACTCCAGCCAGCCGCACTCAATCTGCCCGTCTCTGAGGAGGAGCAGACTGAGCGCGACTGACCAAAATCAGGCTGCTTGCTTCGGACTGAACAAGAAGAAGACATCGCTGAAGCCCCGGAGCTCGAATGTTTACTGAGAAGTTGCTAAACTTCATCGTAATTAATGACCAACCGCTATCAGTTGTAGAAAACAAAGGATTTCACAGCTTGATACTTGCAGCCAAGATATAGTTTACCCTCCAGGAGATATTTATCAGTACAACAGTAGACAATCATAACAAAACATATGAATTCAAAATTACATACATACATATACATATTTATGTAAAATACTAAAAACAGGAACATGTCTGTGTTGGTTTATGCCATGAATTTAACAGATGCTTTGTTACGACTCGAGTAATCCAGAGTTGTATGAGACCCGGAACGAGACAGACACAGGCAAGTACAAAAGTGACAGTGTTTATAATTCACAATAAAATTATACTGTTGTCTCTCTGCAGCTCCTGGAAGAAGAGGGAGGAGGTCAGAGGAGGTTGGCAGGCGATCAGGCAGCATTAATGAGAATGTTTTCTCTCTTACAGATTGGAAGATCTCCTTTTAGTCCACTCCGAATCCTAGGAGAGCTCCAGAGAGGGACAAGGCCAGCGGTCCAACTGAACGAGGAAGGCCGGCAACTGGTGGTTGGCTAGACACGAGAAGAACCAAGGCAAGGCACAAGGAGAACCAAGGTAAGGCACAAGGAGAACCAGGATGAGGTGCTGGGAGAACTAGGACTGAAGAGGCAGGAACACTGGAGACAAAAAAGAGACTGGTAAGTAACTTTACTAGATACTAATTTACCGGCTGGAGACAACACTACCATTAGATGGTCAATGCTCCAGCGAAGAGTAACACTGGACTGCAGCCTTATGTAGTGGATGATCCTCATCAGGTTGATGGCCGACAGCTGGTGCTAATTAGCGGCCATCTTGGACGAGGAGCTGCAGATAGTGATACTCTTACATGTTTAAAGCCATTAATTTTTTTAATTTAATTCATTCATTTAAAAGAAACAAAAATAAACCACATATTCATCAAAAAGAAAACGTTGAATGAAAAGAGTACAGAAAGAAGAAAAATATTCTTATATCTGCCCCTTATTTAAAAAAATAATCTTTAAACAAACAATCACTTAAATTAATCTCTTTAATATCCGCTTTAAAGCAAGGAATTAAAAAAAAAACATATTTTGTGTTAGAAGAATTTAATTCTAACTTTGAAATGTATCCAACATTAATAAAACATATCTCAAGTTTCCTTTTTGGACATGCATGCATATATTTGTACAAATTGTACCTGAGAGGAGATTATTACAGCCTCATATAAAATCATTGATGATGATATCGGAACGGGATCGGCCGATATCCAGATTTAGGTATCAGGATCAGATTAAAAAAAAAAGA